AGTGTGTGTGTTTGTGTGTTAGATGTATGTGTTAGTGTGTGTGTGTGTTAGTGTATGTGTGTGTTTGTGTGTGTTTGTTTGTATGTGTGTGTTAGTGTTTGTGTGTTAGTGTGTGTGTGTGTTTGTGTTAGTGTGTGTGTTTATGTGTGTTTGTGTGTTAGTGTGTGTGTGTTAATGTGTGTGTTTGTGTATATGTGTTAGTGTGTGTGTTGTGTATGTGTGTAGTGTATGTGTGTCAGCATGTCTGTGTGTGTGTCAGTATGTCTGTCTGTCTGTGTGTCAGTATATATGTGTGTGTATATCTGTGTGTGTCAGTATGTGTATGTGTCAGTATGTCTGTCAGTGCGTCAGTATGTCTGTTAGTGCATGTGTATGCATGTGTCAGTATATCTGTCTGTGTGCCAGTATGTCTGTGTGTGTGTGTGTGTCAGTATATCAGTCTGTGTGTGTCAGTGTTTCTCAGTGTATGTGGGTGTCAGTATTTCTGTCAGTGTATGTGTGTCAGTATGTTGATCAGTGTATGTGTCTGTGTGTGTGTGTCAGTATGTCGGTATATGTGTCTGTGTGTCAGTATGTCTGTATATGTGCCTGTGTCAGTATGTCTGTCAGTACGTCTACCAGTGTATGTGTCTGTGTGTGTGTCAATATATGTACCTGTGTCAGTGTGTCTGTCAGTGTATGTGCCTGTTTATCTGTATGTAGTCAGTGTATGTATCTGTGTATCTGCTTGTGCGTCAGAGTGTGTACCTGTGCATCTGAGCCGCAACTTTAAATACAAATACACCCCTCCATTCAAACTTCAACACTACATATAAAACACACTCCTGCATTGAAACGTCAACACTACATACAAGCACACTCCTACATTCAAAAACAAACACTACACATAAATGCACACTTGCATTCAAACTCCAGTACCACATACAAACACATTCACACAAACATACTCCATACAAACACATGCTTACATTCAAACATACTAACATGGCTCAGTGCTAAATACAACCCTGCAAGCATGGGAAATTGGTAGAGTCCCAGCTGTCAAAGCATTGTTGGAGTTGCACGACAGATGGGGTTCTACCTTTAGTCCAACCTTGCAATTGGGGGTCCCAATAAAATTCATTCTATGTTAGTACCGCCACTGCGTTGGGATGGATGCCGTGATTGCATACCAGGGAGTGAGGGGCAAGAGCGGCAGGGCACAGGGGGCCCAAGCAAACACTTGCCCAGGGTCCATTCGTTATTAAAGACGGCCCTGGGTTAACCGCAGCTTAATTGACGAATGCTGGGTGGCCGCCATTCGTATCACGAAGATGAGGTCGCGGCCATTTTAAACATGCGAATGCACAGCGGTGTTCGACGCTTAATTCATGGAACTGAAATCGGACACAGTTTTGCGCGAACACCGCTGAAGCAGCCGACCTCCCTTCTTGTTCGGTGAAAATGCATGAATGGCCCGGTGTTCGGTAGTTTTGTTTGGGTGTGTTGTGCCCCAGATAGGAATCCCATGGAGCCCATTCGCATGAAACTGACTGTGTAAAGACTTTGGCTCCATGGCGATTAAACTGTATTCGTGTGGTCTTAGCGTCATTCGCTTAATAATGTGCGCTCAGACCTGAGCTATCTGGGGATATGTAGAACATATGTTTTATGTACTGAATGTAACTGTAGGTAATTTTATGTCTTTTACTGTTTGTTTTCTGCCATGTGGTTAATGGAGTTTTGTCTCTGTCTTTGGAGATAATTGAATTACTTCCCAAATTATTTCCAGGCAGAGAGGAGGGATTGTGATGCATTGTGGGATGGCTGAAATGTGTAAGTCTGTGATTGGTCCTTTTACCCTTTGTGTCCCAGTCTCCCATTTGATCCCCTAGGGGAGTGTCCACCAGGTGGGAGACCTGCATAAAAGCCGGGCAGTTAGCCCCAGTAAATCAGTTCCTGCTTAACCCTCAAAGTGAAGTGTCATCTCATTATTGGGGGAGGATTTACTGTATGCTGTTAGAGACTGATTGCCAGGAGTGTAAGCCGCTTGGGGGCTTTTCCTGTTCGTCTGCTAGCAGCTATTCGTGTGTCTCCAGTTCGGGAGTTTCGACTATTCCTTTGGTTGCAGTTCGGGAGTTGGTGAATTCGTGGGTTTGCAGTTCAGGAGATTGGTGCTTGCAGTAGCTGTCGGTGCAGCTGAAAAAGGGGAATATCGCCTAAACGTTTTTTAACCTCTTTTGGGCAAAACGTGTGTTACACACACCTCTACACTACATAAGCATTCCCACAACACCAACAAAGGAAGGTGCGTGCCAGGTGGCCTGCGGACCGTGACACCACTTCCCTTACCCACAACACGAAAACCGCAACCTAAACCCAACCCCACCCCTTGCCGAGGACAAATAGAGAGCAGGGCACGGACCAAAAAAAAACACAAATGCACAGAGACAGAAAGCAACCCAACAAGGGCTAAACAAACTGAAAACAACTTATGCAAATGCTTTACAATGTTAAACTACTGATGTAACTCGATATCACTCTACATTCTGACAAGGTGCCCTGCGATGGTACTAAATTCCTTTTAGAGGCATTGCATTAACCTATACCCACCTCCCTCCCCCTCTTATCTTCTGTACCCTCCTACCCCATACCTGATTTATTGTAAAATCGTACAAATAAAGAATGTAAAAAAAAAAAAGTTGGACTTAAACAATCACCTTGTGGAGAATAATCTTGATTGTTGCTAACGATTCCATCTTGAATGCTTTCTTTTAAAGGAAGACATTTATGTCAATGATGAGTTGCCACTTGTGAGAAGGCTTTGGAGCCAGAAAGACCACTGAATAAAACCCTTTGAAGGGGTCTGTCTGGGAACGTCTTTAAGGATTCTTTGATTTAGAATAGTCAAGATGATATTCCTCATAGAGTATGGTTTTATACCTGGGTCACATTTGACCTTATGAATCTTTCAGAAGTGGGGAATTTTTTAAATTCTATTTTATACCCATCTTTGAGAATCAAAAGGACCCATTTGTCTGAGACATATGATGATTCAATCTATAAAACAGCATGGCCAGATTCTGAACTTAGAAAGTCAATAGGAGCCAATATCGACACACTCTCAGCGTCAATGGTTCTCTCAGAAGAAAGAAAGCTTTGTATAAGAGAAAACATACGACTCTCAAGTTCTCAAGTTTCCTTGTTTGAATTTGCAATTCACAAATGTCAGAGGCTTTCTCTGTCAATTCTTCTGGTATTTTAAGAGCCTCCCTTGTTGCTGCTGTCAGTTTGTCAACTGAACTGTAATCAGTAGATCTTTTCCTAATTTCCATCTGTTCTTCTTCTTAAAAATATTCTTGTAGGACCTCTTAGTTGTGACTATATTCAGTGGACACTTCAATAGATCTGGGTCTTTTTGCTGTGTTGGCAGAAATAGACTGAAATAACTCTGCTTAAGCTTAAGAGATCCGATTCTTATGTTCTCTCTGTGGAAACTTCCTGAAACATAATAAACAATGCCCAATGGGGATTTAGACCTACAGTCCATGCAGCATTGTGTTAACTCCTTCTTCTTATTTGGAGATTGTTTGGGCTGAACTTGGTAGTCAATGCACTCTTTCCCTGTCCCTTAAATTAAAAATGTCTAATTTTATACTTCTATGCTCTATCCCTGGGGAGGTAGAGGAAGCCATACTGAATTAAAAGTTAATTTATTTTATTTTTTATTTTATTAACCCACATACTAAAATAAAACCTATTAGACAAAGCAATCCACCTTGTAAGGTAGCTAAATGGAGAAAAGATAAGTATTTTGGTAGCAAAACCTGGTTAGAATGCCTTAACTGAAAGGTACTCTGTTTTTTTTTAAATATTACTGCATTTTTCAAATGCCACAATCTCTTTGCAAGGGTTCAGAGAACCTTGCATGTGCAATAGCTCCCTCAATGCATGGGGACGATAGGGGCATGCACTGACATTGGTTTGAGCTCTAAAAATAGATCTCAGAAATGCTGCCCCAAGCCACATCCTGGAGACATGAAGAAGCCTCCTAAATGTATAAATAATTGGAAGCCTTGCAAGAAAGGCTTCTTTTTAGTAGGTGGCTCATCCTTATCATAACCAAAAATATTAAGAGACCCTGGAAGAGCAGAACACAAAGAAAACACCTCCAGACAAGCACGGGAGCCTCAATAATAGGCAAAGATAGCCACTTTCTCAGGTAAGGAGAGGCAAGGTCCCTATGATAGCCACCAGGGAATTGAGGGGCACACAAGGGAGACTGACATAGCCTTTCCCAACTGCAAGGTATATGTAAACAGAGCTCCCACATATCAGTTTCAGATATAAAAGGAAACTTGGTCTAGTAAGTCCTTCCCCAGAAGGCTGTTTAATAGACTATTCAGAGAGAGGAAAGGCTGAACTTTCTCTGATAAAACCATATTAAACATGGTAAGGTGAAACAAAAATTAAAAATATATGAAGAAATATATGAGAAACCTTTAATCCTGCCTGCCACATGAGGACAGGAAAAAAAGATTGGGGAGGACTGGAAAGGCAGTGGGGGCCTATATGTGCTTAATTGTTTTATTGATAACTCGAATTTCCTGTCCTGACACTTGAGAGGTGGTGCTAACCAATAAGTAATGCTCTCATGGTTAGCTAGAAAAGAATACTTTGTAAATCACTTATATTTGTCTTAGCCAAATTTATTTCTCAAAGAAATAAAATGTAAGCTTTATTAAGCTAACCTTCTGTAATTGAAAGATGCATTAATACAGGATATTTAGCACTTTGCTTTTAAGAGATAATAGGTTTAAAGACTGTAGATCACAGTATAATAGGAATGAAAATGTATGAGCCACTTAAGTGGTAAAGTCAACTTTCTTAATAAGATATACTTCTAAGGAGAAATCCTTGAATAGAAAATAGGGAGATCAGATAAGGTTAAAAGGAGGAAGAGGATATGAAAGAATGGATTGAAAGAAGGGACTGGGCCAAAACAATGCAGAGCTGGAATAGAAGAAACATATATTTCTAAGGTTATCAACAGTACAATAAGGGCGTATATGTTTACAGTAATATATAACGTTGTCATATAAAAACAGCACAGTATTCATAACACAAATATGCTAACTAAATATACACCCTAGCTATTAAAAAGCTTTTTTTGTATTCATAGAGATGAAACTTAGTGAGGATGATAACAAAGCTGTTTAAAGTTATTTTGGGAAAGAGGTGGAATATTTCAGTAATTGTAATTTTGTTCTTTTTACACAATGTGTATGGTTTTGATAGGAAAGCACAATTCCCATACCAAATAATTGACCAATCTGTTGCTGTAGACGGTATCATCACTCTTGTATAAAAGCCCAATAATGGTCCATAATTTATTGTCACCTTAAAAAAAAAAGTAGGAACTGTGTCACTACCTAACCAAAACAGTCCTTAAGTAGACACTCCATACCCCTACAATACTGTTCTTGGATAGGACATTGGCTTAAAGATAGACATTTTTTAAACTGGACAAAAGTGGTAAGTGAAGTACCTCGGGGTTCTGACCTGGGTCCACTGCTCTTTAATCTGTTAATAAACAATCTTGTAGTGGGCATTGAAAGTAATTTGTCAGTGTTTGCAGATGGCATAAAAATAAGTAAGATTACACAGTCTAAACATGATAGAACTTCTCCATAGAGGGATCTGAATAAACTGGGGCACTGGGCTGGCATGTGGCAGATAAGGTTCAATATAGATAAATGTAGAGTCATGCACTTCGGAATAAAGAACCCATAAGCAATTTATATATTAAATGGGGTTTAGGGATGACATTAAATGAAAAGAACTAGGGAACAATTATAGATCACAAACTAGACATCGGTATACAATGCTAGTCTGCCTTTGCAAATGCTAGTAAGGTGTCTCTTTCAAAATAAATGGTAAGACCCCACCTTGAATAAAGAATTGCAAATTTAGGCACATGTTTTAAAGAAGGATATTGCAGAACTAGAAAAAGTGCAGAGGTGAGCTACAAACTTAGTAAGGGGGAGGGAAAACATTAGTCAAGAGGGAGAATTGAAAAACTTATTTTTTTTAAAGAAAAAAGGCGTCTCAGAGGGTATATATTAGCACTGTACAAATATATACAGGGTCAGCACAAACTGCTGTGTGCTTAACTGTTCATTAGCAGGAATATATAACAGACAAGAGGTCACCCATTGTGACTGGAAGAATGGCATTTTCGCTTACAGCATAGGAAAGGGTTCTTTACAGTAAGAACAATAAAGATGTAGAATTCTCTGCATGAAGAGTTTGTCTTATCAGATTATATTTAAAAAAAAAAAAGGCTTGGATTCTATTTTTTAATAACCATAATATTCAAGGATATAATCGATATGTCTGTAAACAGGTTGTTGATCCAATGAGAAATCTGATTGATCTTATGGAGTCATGAAGGTTTATTTTTCTTTTTGTGGCGTAATTGGAAATGGCTACAATTGGATTTTCCGCTTTCTTTTGGATCAACAGCATGAAATAATGTAATTTTTTTTCAAATTAGACTAACTGTAGACTAACTAATTCTAACCATATAACACTAACAAGTGCTTGTGCATGAAGATTGTGTACTGCCGAGTCTTGGAGTAGATGGGTAGTGTTCTGCAATCTGGTTAGAAAGATACGTAAATAATCATCACTAACCAGAACACATATGGAACTGCTGCAGAACAAACCCTTAATGTGCTGCACTGATATAATGTCTTGTCTCTGTCTCCCAGTGTTCCAAGGAAGCCCGGCAGTAAAGTGAAAAGTGAAAGCACAGGTATTGCATGCCATTGCTAGACCCCATTAACGCTATCCTCCTTTTATGTATGTATTGCATTTTTTGTGTGAGTATGTGTATATGGAAGTGTATCTGTGTGTATAAGGGTAAATGTGGTAGTTTATCTGTGTGTTTCTGTGCATCTGGTAGTGTGTTCAACAGTGCGTATTCGTGTGTATATGTTTTTACACTATTGTTTGTAAGGGGCTCTATGAGGGATGTGATTTTACTTTTTAATAACATTTTAGGTTAATAATATTGATTTGTTTGCATGATAATTTCAATTCAATTGAGCACACAATTGGATTTATTCACAATAACAGAAATTATGACAAATTCACAGAGGAATTGCAAATGGTAGATCGTAAATTAACCACACTGGAAAAATCTATCTGATCAATTTTTCTATTGGTTTTTACCTAAAAATGTACAATTCCCTTCTCAATTTTCCACAATTCCTGGTTAATGTAATAAAACATATTTTTAAGGTAAACACAAAAACATTTAAGAGACAATATTGGGTTAAAAGAATAGAAATATTGAGATATTCTGGAAATGCCAATGAAGCATCTCACACGACCCATTGGCATTGGATGGGTTAACCTGTCTGCATTTCTCTGAGACAGGATCATAGAATGCTACCAGTATTATTTGCAGATTCGCTATGAATAACATTAATAACATGAAAGTGCAATTTATCTTTCCAGTGCCTTGGGCAATAATAATTATTATTAATTTATAATCTCATAAATATGAAGGGAGGTTATGTTTGCTAGTTTAAAGAGTAAATAGTAACTGCAACTTTGTTTCCAGATTTTTACACACATTTACACACTTGTGTAACCCTTTGATAGCCTATTTTGCTATTAAAACTTGCACTAGCATCTACAGTAATATTGGAGCTTGTAGATTCTAGATTGTAGGCTTCTAAGTCTGTATTCCTTATTTACTCAGGTACGCACGGCTTATTCAGAAATGAGTTGATTGAAAACATATAAGTATTACGGTTTATGCTGGAAAAAATAAAATCTCTATCCACTCTCTATCCACTCTCCCAAGCCCTCAAACCTTTCTCCAGTGATTTTTCACTGCCTCCTCTCCTCTCCCATCCATGTCCTCTCCTCTCTATGCTATGTACCATTCTCCTCCATTCATCTCATATTGTGTCTCACCATCACTCCTCTCCACTGCTCTCATTTCCTCTCCTTCCTAATCCATCTCTCTTCTCTGCCATCTCCTCTCTCTGCCATATCTCCTTTCTCTCATACCCGCAATCACACTCTCGCACTTTCTCTCCCTTGTAAACAGTCAATCTCACAAACACTCCCTTATATACTGTCAATCACAGTATCAAGAGCAAATATAAAATGTGTTACATGATCATATAAATGTGTTGTGTAGATGTATGTGAATTGTGTGTACAATTTAATGCACCCCAACTCTTTAAGCCTCTTTGGTAACAAAGGTCATTCTCTATTGCTTTGTCACAGACTGTGTTCTAGCTCCAATGGATGAAAAAACACAGGCAAATGATAACACACATTACATGGTTTATACAGTGGTTTGCAAATGAACTTGAATTAGGAACTGTGCTTTGTTAGCGGCCAGTTTGATTTTGAGAACAATTCCAACTAGTTAGTTAGCTGAGTGAGCTCTTCCATGTGTAAAGTAACCTGGTTGTCAATTAACGAAAACACAGTTTGATCGAGGGGAAAATCCAACATGGAGTGATGAGCTTTATTTACATGATTTTAACTCTCTGATTCAAATTAGGCCTTTTTCATACATTCAAAAGAAATATGTCTCTGCACTAAAAGCTCGTCTTCATTATTAGATTCCACCGTCAATAGATCTTATATATTCCAACGGTGCCATTTAATCCATTAAATACAAAATATATTGTAGTAGTTAAATAAAGTAACAGTCATCCCTCTGAAACATATAGGGCTCACAAGGCTTTATTCAATAGCAGTCAACATGTGACAGTCAACGTGTGAGATTAAATTCTCTGTAAGATATGGCCCTAAAACAGCATTGTAAGTAAGAATTCCTAATTAACACTAGAAGAAAGGCAATGCTATGGGCAGAGATCAAAGACACACTTAAAAGTTATTTCATTGTAGAAAATAGCATATAACATTGGCTGCAGCTTGAACCATCTTGTAGGTTACAGTCAGAAGTTATAGTTTAATCCCACAGGATACAGGCAGCCCATGAGCCAATTAACAGAAAGTGGAACATGTTTCAAGTATGATAGATAAAGATACGTCAGCATGGGAAGATATGAGTAGGGGGTTGCAGTATCCAAGATTAATAGAGATGAGTATTAATACAATTGTGTAATGTATCAGAGATGCATGAATGCAAGCTATATTTTAAATTATTTATAGAAATTTTTGGAACAATGACACCAAATGAAGTCATTTTGAAAGAATAAGTGACGGTGGCAATATTTATACCAAGGATGCTGTAAACACATCAGAAAATTACTGCAATTTAAAAAATATATATTTTATATATCTTAGTACCAGTTTAAATTAGTCATTCCTTATTTATTTTATATAGCATTTTACCAGGGCATATGCTATGAGATCTACAGTATGGGAGCATGTACAATACAACACTAAATTCTGACGTTCCATTGGGATGTTGACTAGAAACTTTGTTGCTCATGGTATTTGGCTAGAAATTTGCATTACGAAACACTACATTGGAGGTCAAAGGTAAAATTAGATCAAGCATGGTGGAAGCATGCTTGTTAAAAACAGAATTATCTAAAATAATGGATATTTTACCTTCAGGTTACATTGCCAAGTTTGATAGATTTGTATTAAATCTTTAAGAGGACAATTTTCAAAAGTCAATGACAATAACTTATATTATATATTGGAATTTGACAGTGGAATGGGCTATGTAAATATCATCATTCACAAAAAAGTAGCATTATGAAAAAACATGTTATAGTTCCATTTAGCCTTAATGGGCAATTCTCCGTCTTATTCCCAGTAGTCAATCTAAAGAATTCAGACCTTTGGAGTGTTTTCATTATGTGATAGCTAAAGATTTTTTGTTTTGTTTTGTGAAGTCAATGAAAGATTGTCCTGCAAAACCTCGTCTGTGATTTTCATGTGTTACTAAACATAGTCAGGGTTGCTCCATGCTTTTGTTGAGACTTTTTTTTCCCCAAGGTGAAAATATGATTTGGGAAAAAAAAAATGGATGCTCAGTAACATGAAAAGTCATTCTTGCAGAGTGATGTTTCCGTGAACAAGGTCACATCCAATATTAAACAATGCACTTGAAACGTGTTTTACATTTGTTGTCTCATTCTCACCAAGGCTACTTTGCATTTTGTTTATGTCCTCGACAAATCATTACAGAAGCCTATAAACTATGACGATAAAT